GTTCGATAAACTTGACCCTTGAGCTATCAAATGTGTATTCTTACTTATTCCTGCACTCAAAAGGGGTATCGTTGCTATAGTCCTTCTTTGCAACGATACTTTACTAGTGCTGATATCACATTTAAGGAATCTGTTCCATATTTTGCAGCACCTTTGGATCTGGACTTTGGATCATCTCTTATACCACCATCTTTTCCCTCATCTTCAGATATTCCGCAGCCCATTGTGTTACCATCTACTTTACCTCTTCGTGTATACTTTCATCGTCCTCAACCATCGACTAAAGTGCCTGTACCATCTTTCTTGCCGCCTTTTGATCCTAGTCCATCAGGTAATTTAGATTCTTTACCTATTGCTCTTCCAAAAGGTACTCGTTCATGTATTACTAATCATCAAATTGCTCATTTTGTTTCATATGATGTTTTGTTTCCTGTCTTTTCTTGTTTTACCTCTCAATTATCTACTATATCTATTCCTAAGCATTTACAAGATGCATTATCTGATCCGGGTTGGAGGAAAACTATGGAGGATGAGATGGATGCCTGACATCATAATGGGGCATGTAATCTCGTTCTTTTATCTCCTGATAAACGAACTGTTGCTTTTCGTTGGGTGTACATTGTTAAATTTCATTCGAATAGTTCTGTGGAGCGTCTCAAAGCCCCGCTTGTTGCAAAAGGCTTTACTCAGACCTATGGTGTTGATTATGAGGAGACTTTCTTTCCTGTTACTAAAATTTTCTCTGTTCGTATCTTGATTTCTTTGGCTGTTAATCTTGATTGACTCTTGTTTCAGTTAGACGCCAAGAATGTCTTCCTACATGGTGACTTAGTTGAAGAGGTATACATGGAGCAACCACCTGGGTTTACTGTTCAGGGGGAGTATGGTAAGAGTGTATGTTGGTTAAAAAAATCTTTGCATGGTTTGAAGTAGTCACCGAGGGCATGGTTTGGTAAGTTTTTAGTTGCAATTTTAGAGTTTGGTCTTCTTTGATGTCAAACAGACCATTCCGTGTTTCATAGATAGACGGATGCTGGATATATTCTATTGGTGGTCTATGTAGATGATATTGTGATCACTGAAAATGATTATGAGAGGATTGCCAAGTTAAAAATCTTCTTGTAAAATCAATTTCATACTAAGGATTTGAAAAAAATCAGGTATTTATTGGGAATTAAAGTGGTTCGATCTAAATAGGGTATTTGTTTATTGTAGAGGAAATATGTACTTGACATGCTAGAGGAAACAGGTTTGCTGGGTGGTAGACTGATTGATGTTTCCTATGGATTCGAATCAAAAACTATTGATGGATGATGGTGCACTGTTTGAGATTCCGGGTCGGTATCGCAAATTGGTTGGGAAGCTCAATTATCTCACTATTACTCGATCGAAAATTTTCTATGTAGTCAGTATAGTAAGTCAGTTCATGAGGTGTCCTAGAGTGCCACATTAGGAGGTAGTCACTCGTATTCTGCGATATCTCAAATGAGCTTCTAAACTTGGACTGTTATATTGAGCTAATGGATTTCTTAAAGTGGAAGGTTTTTCAGATGCTGATTGGAATGTTTCTCTTTCTGATCGGAGGTCAACCACTGGTTATTGTACTTTCTTAAGAGTTAATCTTGTCTCATGGAAAAGTAAAAAATAATCTGTAGTAGCAAGATCCAGTGCTGAGGCTGAGTATAGGACAATGACGCATGCGACAAGTGAATTGACTTGGCTACTACACTTCCTCCAAGAAATTAGATTTTCAGTTCAACTTCCTTTACAATTGTTTTATGATAACCAGACAGCTATCCATGTCGTTGCCAATCCAGTGTTTGTGAGAAAACCAAACATATTGAGGTTGATTGTCACTTTATTCTGGATAAGATAATAGCTGGGGAGATTACAACTCTATTTGTGAAATTTGAAGATCAGTTTGCAGATATGTTTACCAAAGTATTGAGTCGAACATGTCTTACAACGATTTGTTCCAAGCTTGGATTATATAATATATATAGTCTAGCTTGAGAGGGAGTGTTAAGAGTATTAGGGTAGTATGTGTAAATTATTAATAGTAAGAGGGTGTATCTGTAATTCTTATTATTGTGAGTTAACTATAAATATAAGTGATGTATAAGAACTAGGTTAAGTTTTTACCCTCTCTCTGTTTCTCTCTAATATTATGTTAATTTTTTACATTTAACAGAGATAAAAAAGCCTTGAGGTGCAACCACAGATGTCGGCTTAAGGTGTAATCAAGGAGGTTGACTTTAGATGCAATTATGGAGGTCGACTTGAGTTATAACCAAGGAATTTAGCTTAAGGCAAAGGAGTCTTGAGGAACAACCGTGGAGATTAGCTTGAGATGCAACAAAGGAGGTTGACTTGAGGTTCAACCACGAAGGTTGCAATAATCAAAAATAGAGGAACACTTAGAGTTGTGAAAAAAAAATCTCTTTACTAATCAACGAAAAAGAGAAACAAATATCTTTGAAGACTTATTGAAATTAAGAAGCTATTGACTAAGATAAAAGTAAAACTTATTTATCTAATTGGATTTGTTGTTCTTCCTACTCTTTGGTAGTCTTTTCTTTGTCAATGTACCAAGAGAGGTAGCCTTGCTTGACCAACTCTTCTAGGTGGCGCTTGAGTGCCAAACAATTATCCGTCAGGTGGCCTTTGTTCTTGTGATAAGAACAATGGAGGTTCTGGTCCTGCTTTGATGGATCTCCTATCATTGGTGGCCACCTAAAATACTCCTTATCTTTGATTTGGTTAAGGACCTACTAGATAGGCTTCTTAAAGACAGTGTTGGTGCCTTGGTAATAGATCCTCGTTCCCTGGGATAACTTGTCTCTCCTTGATGGGTTGGGAGTATTGTCTTCCCCAATCTAGTTTTTTTGTGGCAACTAGTCGACTGGTTTGTTGTCATCCTCCACCTTTATGTACCTCTTGACATGCTCCAATAAGTGTTACATACTATAGGGCGCCCATATGGTGAGGTGCTTCCTCAATTCTCTTTCTGTGGGGAGGCCCAAATAAAAAGGGACAACGATGGTCTTCTCATTCCATTCTTCTATGTCAGTATAGGGTTCTAAGTACCTCTTGACATACTCATGGAGATTCTCTCCACATTTTTGGCATAGTGCCAAGAATGTGTCAATGGTCATTGGCTCCCAACTATTAGCTATGAATCGAGAGATAAACTCCCCGACGAGCTGTTCCCAAGAGAAGACTGAATTCACGAGAATCCCATGAAACCACTTAGGAGCCAACCTCCTCAAGCTGGATGGGAACATCTTACACATCAATGCCTCTTGCTTGTCCAAAGGGCTATCTTATTAGTAAAGACCCCTGTGTGGAGCACGGGATCAGACTTACCATCATACAACTTAAAGGATGGGGGAGTGAACTTACGTGGGGGCTCAACTTCTTGTATGGATCGAATAAAAGGAGTTGTGGTCATCTTAAGTGAGGTCTGCCTTGCCCTTTCTTTGACTGAATATAAGAGATCATCTTGGTCAATGTCTCGATGAAGATGGTCGTAACCTTCGCAAGTTGGTTCAGAGTGGGTACTCTTCTATCTTCCGCAATCATTGGACTACTCATCTCTTCTAGAGTGATGGGTTGAACTTCCAAATCTTTCTCTACGTTCCTTAGGACGACATACTCTATGTGGATTGCCTCCTTTCTCCTCGTAATGAGAGGGTTACCTTCTTGGTGAAGGGTCCCTGGGAAAGCATTGAGAAGAAGAGCTTCTTGGTGAGTACCTTATTTGACAGTGACCATGGGTCGAATAGCTTCTTACTGGAGACTTGTTCCAATGACGGGTAGATTGAGCCTCATATGTGGTCGTCACTTTGACGAGGTGGGCATATGACCAGACTAGCAAGTTTGTTGCCTCTTTGGAGAAGAAGCCCTTGTTGGAGGGCTTCTAACTCCTCCGTCTTCTTACTTATTGCCTCATGGTAATTCATCTCAGTAGCTAACCCACCTTCTGCATCGAGGGCAAGTAGGTTGTGGTGAGAGGAGGTTTTTCTCTAGAGTGCTCTTGTCTATCATGGAGTAGTACATCCTTTGATAATTGAAGGGCATAGTTAGTGGGATCTTTGCGGTTGGTCCCTAAATTGAGGGCTCTCTTGCTAGACATGATTCTGGGCTTTTTGGTTAATAGAAAACTTAGTTGTTTTCCACAGACGGTACCAATAGTGCGGGGATAAATCCACGCATAGGGTCACCACCTTGTACGAATGGAGAGGGTGGCGGAGAAGCCTGAGTGAAACTACAAGACAAGAGAACTCCTACATGATCCGATGGCCACAGCCTGCCATAGGGACTTCGATGCTTTAGTCAGAGATAAGTATTGAGTGAATAGGCTAGGATCGAATTTTCGATACCTAGTACGCTGGCCTTTATTCATAGTGGTAGGGAGATGTGTCCTAAAGAAACTCGAACTCTTAGTTGATTGACTCAACCTCGTCACCAGGTCCTATAAGTATGTGGTAGATTTTGATTAGGATTCTGGGTCCTAATCCTTTATCACCAGCTCCTAGACATTCAAAGTAGTGTTTTGTTCGAACTCTAGGTCCCACGTCAATCCTTAGCGGAGTAGGACTCGATCAATGGAAGCCGGTAAGCAAGAGAAGCCCTTGATGAGAGTCCCTTGGCAAGTAAAGTGCTTGCCAGTTGGCTTTGTTGTCAAACGGCAATACCTTGGTGGCTGCCTTGGAGTGACCCAATCCCTTGGTGGCTTGCGCCTGTCGGTCAGCACTTGTGCTTGCCGGTCGGCACTTGTGCCGCTCGCACTAGCAAGGTGAATGGCATGATCCTCTTTGCCTTCATTGAACAAATGAGAGGCTAGGGGCATGTGCCTGCCGGTCAGCACCTCTGCCAGTCGGTACAAGCAAGGGCCAATGGGGTTACTCTATGCCTCACATACAGGATTAGATTTGGAAATATTTTTCATCAGGAATATTATTTTTGCAAAGAACAATATTAATAAACATAATAATAACTCACTTCTTAGAGAGAACTGGTCCAGATTTCATGCATCCAATATAGATTCCGGGTTTGGATCTGTATCGTGCTAGTGTACTCACAAGCATACCTACACCAGAAATTTTACAGCACTATATATCACATGTAACTGTGCATGGAGCATAACAAACATGTATAGAAAACCCTCAGAAAAATGTAGAAACATACCCAAGTTTACATGGACATCATCATCCACCTTGACATAGAATTCTGCATCCCAAATGGAGACAACTGTTGAAAAATACAATCGGGTCTTGGAGGAGAGCTCATGGTAGCCCTCGATATGGTTGAGCCGAAGGAAGTCTTTGTATTCAGCTTCCTCAGCATTGATAGCTCGATCAAGGACTCCCCCTGTTGCGGCGCTGTGTCCTATCACGAACCGTATTACAATCCCTTTCTCTTTCTCCAATTCCTTTAGTTCATATCCTGTTTCACATTTTGATTGGCATAGAATATATCTTAGTCAGAGCACCAGAATATAAAATCCAAGCAAACTGCAGCAAATCCTTGATTGCAACAATATAACTAACAATATCAACAAGAATCACAGGACAACTTGCATAGGCGATGCCACGCTTGGCCCAAGGGTCCTGGTCCATCCTCAAATATCTGTTTTGAAAAATTTATCTTCATATAAGCATATGATAGGAATTGCATTCCTACATATACTTTATATTGCCACGATATAATTTTGGTGTCATTAACCTATACCTAAATGATTAGGAGCAAATTTCATATACATTTTGATTTGGGCTTGAATTTTCTTGGAATTGTACTCCCATTGACCTTAATTTTTCTGTGATCGACGACTGTGTGAATAAAAATGAATGTACCATCTTAATTTTATAGATTGTGAGAAATAAATTACAGCTTGCAGTTAAGGGCATACCCTAGAGTAAATTTCAAGATCCAGTTTGCGTGTGTTTCTATTTATAAGAGAGAGGGGAAAGAGGGAGTATGCATGTGGTAGAGAGAGACCTGTAGGCATCCATGTTTCTCGAACAGAATCTCGGCGTTTCTTGCTGCTGAAAGCAGTATTTATTCCAATAACAACAAATGCTTTTGGTAGACTATGATTAGAGGGCCTTTCCGATGAAACTTGGTTGCTGGTTTGGCTCGTCCGAGTTTCTGCTAATTCCTTCTCTATTGTCGACATTGTTTTATGAAGTGATCTTTATTTTTGCACATAAAAAGTCAGACATCAAGAAGGCGAGGAAAAGGATGAAAAAAATAAAGGGCTGAAACTCAAAGCAGAATTCCACTGAAGGGAATGGTCTTACTGGATGGTTTGATGAGTCTTTGAGACATCTTCCATAATATCTCCTGAACTTCTTTCAACCAATTTCTGCTCAAAATTATGACAAAGTAAACATGTACTGGTAGTTATAAAAAATAATTATAATCAACTTTGTTTATAATCAAACTTTATTGAACATTAACAATAAAACCCACATGAACAGGCTTACTGAAAAGAAGAAAACCGCAAATTTTCAAATTAAGATGGTCTGCCAAATATTAAATTACGCTTTTTAAAGTACTTTCATGCTTCTTTTTTTTTCAAATACTCTCTTTTTCTTACTTATTCATCTTAACTTAATGGACTATATAGTAGAACATATGTAGCACACGTATTAATGTATTATCGACATATTATGATCCATATGTTGGAAAATAAACTTGATTTAAAAATTTTATTATATTAATTTGGTGTGTTTGAATGTTATATGTTAGTGGAAAAAAATATTTGTCAGTGGATCGTCAATATTCAAGTAGTGGGAGACAAAATTAATTATGACAAGTTAATTCTCTTAGTATTGGAAAAAATGGGTCTTAATGTTTTAGTGGCTACAAGAGCAAGTGGAGGCAGTGGTAATTTAATGTAATATTAGGATTTATATGTATAACCTATATAAATACGATATGTGACATAGTGTTAGAAATAAGTACAAACGAGTGAAATGTTAAGATCGAGTGTGTGAGTTGTAATCAAATTAAATGAAAATTATTTTTTCTTTTGTGATATCAGAGCCATTTTTCAACCGAAGTAACATTGGAATAATTGCAAGAAAATTAGTATCAGAAGCAACTTTCAATCTTGAAAGTCCAAATATTGCACTATTAGAGCTAATATTATCCTTGAAGCCTTGATAGATAGTGCACTTAATTATGGTAATCATGGAAGATTCTCAAAGGGTGTACTTTTACAAAATGTAATTGAAGAAAAGCCAAGGAGCGGCTTGCCTCAATGAGTCTAAGGGAAAAAAGAAGAAAAGACACTCGGAGTTCTCAAGAAGACGATATCTAAAAATTTGAAAATATCTTGAAGATTCAAGATCCCCAAATCATGTTTAGGAGATGATTGAGAGTATAGTATTCAAACACCAAGTCGAGTTTTAACTAATGAGTATTAGGTACAATGGTTTGAAGAAGATGCTTATGTATAAAGAAAAGTATGATTTTAAAGACACTAATGGCGGATCAAGAAGAGCATCTTTTTGATGAAGTCAAAGAACTTGAAGAGACTAAAGTTAAAGTTGAAGTTCAAGAGGTTAGAGAGGATCAAGAATATGATGAAGTTGAAGAAACAATTCAACAAATGGAAGAAAAAGAAAATTATAAAGATGATGGAACCAATGTTAAAACAATTGAAGAAGAGTAATGTTATATTGACCAAATTTTGGGACCAAATCAAGGATCCTTGCGTGGTTAAAGATATTTTAGATGGATCTTATAAAGTAAGTATGAAAGAAAATTTTTCAACCCAACATCCAAGTGAAGAGTATATTGTCAAATTGTTTGATAATCATGTTGAAGTCAATGAATTTCTTGAAAATTATATTAATTGGTTACGTACAACTTGTTGTAGAGAATATTTTGAGTGACTTAGGTTGTGTGAATATGGAGGAATTTTTTGATGCAAGAGAAATTCAAGAAGCATGAGAAACCCAAGAAAAAAAAAGTCAATTTGCAAGTCCCACGAAGAATATGGAAAGATGAAAACAAGTGGTACATGTGGGAAAATATATCATAAGGCTTACGTCACATAGTAGATTAATTTGAAAATTATTGCTATTGAAGGAGGTGGTACTCAAAGATCACCAAGGCTGCAAAAATTCCATGAAACCCCTCAATCATGAAGAGTTTCAGAAGATAAGGGCTTGAAGTTAAAAAATTCAAGTTTAAAAGGGTGTGTTGAAAAATATACTTGATTTTGGAGTTTTATTATATTAATTTGGTGTGTGTTAATGTTATATGTTAGTGGAAGAAAATACATGTTAGTGGATCATCAATATTCAATTAGCTAGTGGGAGACAAAAAATAATTGTGATAAGTTAATTCTCCTAATAGTCGGGCTTTAATGTTTTAGTGGTTAGAAAGCAAGTAGTGGTAGTGGTACTTTAATAAAGTATTAGGAGTTATATATAGATCTACATAAATAAGGTGTGACATATTGTTAGAAGTAAGTAGAGTTGAGTGAAATGGTCAAGTTGAGAGGTTGAGTTGTAATCAAATTAAATGAAATTATTTTTTATTTGGTGCTTAATTTTCTCTATTTGCTTCTATTTTATTTTTAGTTCTCTTGATTCCAACAAACTGGTAACCATGTGATTTTCCAACCAAAATAACATTGAAGTAATTTCAACTCCATAAAAGTTACACAATTTATATATTAAGAAAGATGGTTTTTTGTAACCAGTTATTTTTTCTTAAACGAATTACTTCGAAAAGCATTACCAAACTGACGCGCTTGTGGTCAAAATCAGGTGCAACCGATTTCATCTTCTCCAAATGATTGGGGATACATCGGAGTGGATGATCTTGTTTTTCTGTGGGACTAGTCGATGTCCTGCTAGAAAAAAGTGATCCTGCAATAAAACTCGAAATGCACAGTACAAAAATGACCTTTCCGGGAACTGGCTTTCCTCGCATTTTCTTAGTTTCGTTGTTGAGTTGCCACAAAGATGATACAAAATCCCACAACCCAATTTTCAGCTTCTCAGCAACCCCCTACGGTTTTCAGCCTTAATAATGTTCTTCATGGAGAAAGGCATAAGAGAGGAGTAGGAGGTAAGCGTTCAGCTCGTGGAACTTCAACTCAAAAAATAGAGCTGTGATTATACGTTCATATAACTTGTATAGAAAGTAGCAGAAATGTAGATGAAGCAAGCAAAAATCAATTTTTGTTGCATTGAAGGAGAAGACAAAAGGTCAAGTTAGTAACAAAAAATAAATTCTTCTGAAAGAAAACTTCTTTGAAAACTGGAATTTCCGCAAATCTTTACTTTGTAAAGAATCACATTATTGCCGTGTAGATGGTTCTTTCATTTGAATCAGTGAATAAAATATCACAACGAAGCGGCCATATTAGCCACTCCTTTCTTGCTTCTTGTTATTAAATAAACTGCAAGTTAGATCATGTGCACTGTCGAAAAGTTTGTATAATATGCAAGTTAATACCTTATTCAAGAACGAAAAAGAAAGTTCTTCAATAATCAGGTGCAAGAAAGAGAATGCGCCGTAAATTAATTGATACTAAGCAAGAAATAGTTCCTAATAGCTCATGGGAAAAAAAAAAAATTTTCTCTTGAGGCCAAAGAAAAGTAAATTCAGCAAATATGAGTTGCTACATTTTTATTGTTAGGTTTAGCATTGTTGCACTTCTAGATTAAAGAACAATGTAAGAAGAAGAAGTACCTGTTAGTTACACGGAGGATCATGGAGATCACAAGAATTTTTGATAAAACAGTTAATTTCATCGAAACTAAGGTGTGTTCTTAGAGAGATAGTCTTATTCAGTAATGTGTCTCTCCATGGAGTTAGATGGTTGGCTTTTGTTTCGAGGGGTGGCTGTTCAATCATGTGATTCTCATGAATTAACAACCCTCTCTGCTTAAACAGAAAAGAAATTGATGTGCCTCGTAGTCTCTCATTATGTGAGTAGTGAGTACCACTTACGTGTGCGAGACTATGTGTGGCGATAAGAACAGATGCCCACATCTTTTACTTAAAGGAGATGTCTAGTATTCTGATAGTCAAAGACGTCCTTCTATCTATTTAAACAAGTTACATAATCGGGTATTTCTTTAAACATAGTTCTTAATTTTTGTTCAAGGTGTCATAGCCATAACCTCTTGATAACACACCCGAATGGCTAAACTATCAACTTCATTGTCTCTTCACATTTCACCACAATAACCTAATTGCAATTGTGTTGACATTTAATCACACATAATACATAATGGACTTTTGTTATACCTTTTGAAGAAACCAAAAAACAACCGGATCGTTACTTGTTGTTACGAACCCGAATATGCCAACCCGGATCAAAATCTCATTGCTTCTCCGCAAACCAAAATCTCGTCAAGGTAAATGAGTGATTACTAGATTTCCTCCTTGTAATCCCATGTTCACAAATCCAAGAGCTGTTGGTGATAGCCTAAGAGAGATAATATGTATAGAGATATGAGAGAGATGTATCGTATGTACTTCTTAGATGTTTAGAGACATATATTTATAGGTGGTTGTAATTACTTAGATAAGCATTATTCCATGATCTCCTGAATTGATTATGAGATAGAGATATATCTCCCATAATCTCCTAAATTGATTAGGAGATAGAGACATATCCCTAACCAACCACCAATGACCGAGTCAAGCCTAATTGTCCCATGTGGGCGGATTGATGAGCATATAATATTGCATAATTGACGGCCTCATTACATGAATTTTTACTCAACTTTTGCATTTAAATACTTAGAGTTAGCCGGAATTATGAATAATGTTGAATTTTCGATGTTGCAGGTAGTTATAGCTTAAATGATGGATTTTAGAACTTTCCAACTAAGTGTGGAGAGGTAGGTGAAGAGTTGGATACATTACATGAGGATTTGGAGGCTTAAAAGTGAAAGAAATTGAGGAGGTATTGGTGTTTGGTAACATAGGCATCAACAACAACACCATTTTGTAGCAGTACCTAAGTTTTCCTTCTTTTGGATCATGATCCACTTCGAATCGGAAAAAGTTCAAAACATGAAAGTTGTAGATCTGAATGTCTTCCGTATTGTGTCAAAATTGTAGCCCAATCGGATGGTTGGAGCAAAATTTATAACGATTCTACAAAAACTGGTCCAAAGCAACAGAGTGTACCGGTACCCT